TTTGATCACTCATTCAAAAATCAATTCTCCCATGTATACACTTTAATGTCATCTATTTTTCGATACCAAAATAAAAGTTACTAAACCCCGAACCCTGCATCACTTATATCCTGGACCCCGCATTCACTATTTATGCTTTCCCAGGACCCCGATTCACTTATATCCGCTGTGTCCCTGACCTCGCATTCACTATATCCGTTTTTCCCCTGACCCCGCATTCACCAATATCCCAGTTCTCCCCGCCCCCGGACCACGCATTCACTATATCCGTTCTCCCCCCAGCACCCCAAATTCACTATATTCGTTCTCCCTGGACCCTGCATTCACTATATCCACTCTCCCCGGACCCTGCATTCACTATATCCGCTCTCCCCGGACCCTGCATTCACTATATCCGCTCTCCCGGACCCTGCATTCACTATATCCGCTCTCACCCCCGGACCCCGCATTTCACTATATCCGCTCTCCCCGGACCCGCATTCACTATGTCCACTCTCCCCTGGACCCCGCATTCACTATGTCCACTCTCCCTGGACCCCGCATTCACTATGTCCACTCTCCACGGACCCCGCATTCACTATGTCCACTCTCCCCGGACCCTCATTTCACTATGTCCACTCTCTCCGGACCCTGCATTCACTATATCCGCTCTCCCCCGGACCCTGCATTCACTATATTCCGCTCTCCCCGGACCCTGCATTCACTATATCCGCTCTCTTCCCCCTGGACCCCTACATTCACTATATCCTCGCTCTCCCCGGACCCTGCATTCACTATATGTTCTCTCCCCGGACCCCGCATTCACTATGTCCACTCTTCCCGGACCCCTCATTCACTATGTCCACTCTCCCCGGACCCTGCATTTACTATATCTGCTCTCCCCGGACCCTGCATTCACTATATCCGCTCTCCCCCGACCCCGCATTCACTATATCCGCTCTCCCCTGACCCCGCATTCACTATCCGTTTTTCCCCTGACCCCGCATTCACTATCTTCGCTCTCCCCGGACCCCGCATTCACTATGTCTACTCTCCCCAGACCTTACAATCACTATGTCCGCTCTCCCCGGACCATGCATTCACTATATCAGCTATCCCTGGACCCCGCATTCACTATATCCGCTCTCCCCTTACCCTGCATTCACTATTTTCACTCTCTCTGGACCCCACATTCACTATATACGCTCTCCCCGGACCCTGCATTCACTATGTCTGCTCTCCCCTGGACCCTGCATTCACTATATTCGGTCTGCCCAAATCCCTGCATTCACTATATCCGCTCTTCCCAGACCCCGCATTCACTATATTCGGTCTTTTCAGACCCTGTCTTCACTATATCCGCTCTCCCCGGAGCCAGCATTCACTATCTTCGCTCTCCCCGGACCCCGTATTTACTATATCCGCTGTCCCTTGACCCTGCATTCACTATATCCGTTCTCCCTGGATTCTGCATTCACTATATCCGCTCTTCCCGGACCCAGCATTCACCATCTTCGCCCTCTCCGGATCCCGCATTCACTATATCCGCTCTCCCCCCTGGACCCCCTGCATTCACTACACTCTCCCCGGACCCTGCATTCACTATATCCGCTCTCCCCTGACCCCTGTGGCAGTGCGGGGACAAGTCATGCCACTGTCATAATCAAGCTGAATACCCTGGATTCTCAACCAGGCAGGTTGGGGGCTCCAGAGAGTTGATTTATTGCAGAGGAAACTGGCTTTTCCGTTTCCTCATTTATCCATTAAGTTTGTTTTGGGATCTGGAGATTTCAAAGAGATCTGGGAGGGATGAAATCTCCAATCCGGGTCCGTGTTTTGAGAGAACCCCCAGCACACTGATTGCACAGGTGTGTGCAGGCCTTTTTATAGAGTCAGGACCAGGGTTCTGGGCTCCACCCCAGCAGTTAGGAGGGCTCCACCCCGGCAGACGGGAGGTCTCTGCCTTGGAGTCAGGTGGAAGCCAGACTAGCGGTGTGCTAGTGACATTTTTTGGGGAAGAGTCCGCAGGAGGCACACTTAAAACTGCGTGCAAGCCAGGGGAGGCTGAATACTATTGATTTGCTTGATGTGGATACCCCTGCGTGGGAAGCATTTCTGTTTTGAACTTTCTTAAAATAAAAGTGGGCTAAAAAGGCCCTTAAAGAAAGCGAGTAGCTGTGTGCTTTGAAGAAGAGCTCTACCACGTTGAAGCGAGTTCCCACACCCGCATGTCCCGCATTCACTATCCATTTTTCCCCTGACCCCGCATTCACTATATTCGTTCTCTCCGGACCCCACATTCACTATATTCGCTCTCCCCGGACCCCCACATTCACTATGTCTACTCTCCCCAGACCTTACAATCACTATGTCCGCTCTCCCCCGACCATGCATTCACTATATCCGCTATCCCCGGACCCCGCATTCACTGTATCCGCTCTCCCCTGACCCTGCATTCAGTATATTCACTCTCTCTGGACCCCACATTCACTATGTCTACTCTCCCCAGACCTTACATTCACTATATCCGCTCTCCCCCGACCCTGCATTCAATATATCCGGTCTCTCCCAGGACCTTGCATTCACTGTATCCGCTCTGCCCAAATCCCTGCATTCACTATATCCGCTCTTCCCAGACCCCGCATTCCACTATATTCGGTCTTTTCAGACCCTGTCTTCACTATATATCCGCTCTCCCGGACCCCGCATTTACTATATCCGCTCTCCCTTGACCCTGCATTCACTATATCCGTTCTCCCTGGATCCTGCATTCATTATATCCACTCTCCCCGAACCCTGCATTTCATTATATTTGCTCTCCCTCGAACCCGCATTCACTGTCTGCTCTCCACGGACCCTGCGTTCACTATATCCACTCTCCCAGGACCTCGCATTCACTATATCCACTCTCCCCAAATCGCAAATATCTGTGTGACTTGCGAGCCAGTCTGTATCCACCCAATATTAACCTCTCAAAACCAAGAGAATGGGACACTCACTGTCCAGAATATATATAGGATCGCAAACACTCAACACAACACTACTACCTAGGTGTCCAAAAAGTCATAAATATATAATGTGTTGCGCTCCAGTGACAATATCTTTGATGTATATATCTAATTAACTTTGATATGAAAATAATTTTCAGGTATTAAATGAAAATATAACAAAATCAAACTATGTAAGTGATTTGAAAAAAATATATAAACCACTATGGTGTATATAAATTAAATGATATTAACCGCAAAACCAATAGATAGTGCATAGTATACTAAAATATATAAATAAAAAGAATATACATCATAAATAGTGAATATTCAAAAAATTGTATATATACTGCCAAATAATTGTGATATAAATGTCCTTTAAATTCAGTGACTTTGTGCTTGAATAAATCTTGATTTGGTGACTTTTTGTGAATCTGTGACTTTACTTTTGAATCCTCAATTGGTAAAGATGTAATGCTCACCTCCTTGTTAGCCTGCAATTAGGCTATACACACTTGTGGTTCACCTCCTATGGAACCTGCTTAGATGGAATTCCTCCTTTATAAATGGTGAGTACGTGATATGCGTTATCCTCAAATAGCCCATGTGCGTTTTTCCATAATGTGGGAACAAATTGCCAGACATAGTGTTTTATCCTTATAAAAAGGTTTCTCCTTTTATTACTTTCCAGCAGATACACTCACATATGTGATATGCGGTATAGGATGAAATTGCTCAGCTCTAATGATCCGCCAGCCGTCCGGGCCATGCACCTGCCGTCTGTCCGATACTCCAGCTCTCTCCGAGTGACACCGCAGCAGCCCCACCCCTACGCGTTACGCCACCGGTCACGTGCTTCATCAGGGGTTTGTGATAGGTTAGTCACTCTTCCATTGCCCAGGATTAAATAGCCCAGCCGCGCCATTTTGTTGACTATCCAATGGGGGCGGCCATAATTTTTGGGGGCACTTTGTACAGCGATATTGTTGCCAATTCTTAAATATGTATCCTTACTGCTCTATGTCTACCCGTCTTGAGAGAGAGCAAGTGTCATGACTATACGGCTTAGCGGTACGCAAATCAATCTTTAATGTACAACAATATAACACTCCAATACCTCAAAAAATAAAATACATTAATACACATGGTAGTATGTGATAACATACACAACCATGTATAAACAATTTAAAGCTTATACAAAATATTTATTTCAATAAAAATATTTATATCAATAAAAATATATTCACAGAATACTAATGTAAAAAAAAATAAAAAATAAATAAAAAAGGGGAAATAATCAGAGTACTTATAACAAATACTCTAAATATATATCTCCCATACACCATAACTAGAATCTACCATTCAAAGAATCATAATGGAGAATACTTAAAAGTAACATATTAAAAAAAAAATGTATATATGATACACAATAGACCCCCTAAATCTATTATCTCACATGCTTGAGTGGGCACGGATTATACCTCCCACCATAAATCATATTTTTATTAAATATAAATAGAGAAAAACCAACATGTATATATATCTGCGTTGGCAAACGAGTGAGTGACATAACCAACTTATGGTATCCCTCCCTATTCATCACGCAGAATCCATACACTTTATTAAATGCTATAACCAGAAACCCTATGTAATTGACGTCAAGAGCATTACTATACATTACACATCACTAATGAAGCATGATAAAATCGAATTCTTTATTTAAACCCACCTGGTGCTAAAATTATCCCCAACTCATTAAATCCAGAAATAATTTGACTCTTTTTTTTTACTAATTTCTCGCACCAAGTTTCTCCCCTATCCAATGTGATTATGTTTGGTAATGCCCCAAAATTCTACTTTTTCAGGATCTTGGTATTATGGTGCATTTTAAAAGTGCACTGATAGGTGATGATAATTTATGATAACCTATACTAATATTGGTGTATATGTTCTTTAACACGTTCTTTGAGAGCATCTTTTTTGCGTCCTATTTGTATAAATAATTACATGGGCATTTCAGGGCGTATACTACACCCTTACTATTCACATGTGATAAATTGATCGATCTCATATTGTTTCCATTTTTGGGTTAATAAATGATTGTCTACATTTTGGATTTGCATGCGTTCTTTTACAACTATAGAGCATCGACCGCATCTATAAAACCCTATCTCATTAAAGAAACTTAGGGACTAATAGATTTCCTGGGGGGGGTTCCAATACGTTTTTAACTACTCGATCTCGAACATTAGATGCCCTTTTATAAATAAAAATCGGGGCTTATCTTTAATAATAGGTTTAAGGATCTTATCTAATTTCAGTATATTTCCAATGCTTGGATATAACTGTTTGTAATCTCTATGTTGTTTATTTTACTAAGGTAATATTATCGAAATATTACTTCTTTCATCTACTTTTTTGTTGCACTTTCTTTTCTAATAATGTAATCTATCTATAACTTCTTTTTATTCTCCTGCTTTCTTCTACTATAGTTTTATCTTATACCTTTTATCCACAAACCTTTGGGTCAATAGTTTACTCTGTTCTCTGTATGTCATCTACATTGGTACAATTGCGTCGCAATCTATAAGAACTGTCCTCTAGGGACATTCTTAATCCATGGTCTATGATGACAACTACTTACAGGAATGTATTATTTACGGTCTGTTTTTGTCTTGAAATAATTGGTTGTTGTTAGACCATCCCCTGTATTCTTAAGCTTAAGATCTAAAAAATTAATCTCTTTCTTGTCAATAATCCAACTTAATGTAATATTTTTAGTATTCTGATTCAAATCCTGATAGTACTCAATCAATGATGGAA